ATTGAAGAGCAAGGAGGAAAGCCTCATGCATGCACGTGACCTGCTGGAATACATTCGATGTTTTTACAGGGGCACTCTTTGGGATGCCCACCCAGTGCCAAGTTCACGTTGTGCCGAGCCAGCAGCAGGACAGCCCAGGATCCACACTACCGCCTCGGCTTCCTCCCCCCACCCCACTCCCTTTGGCGGAAGCCAAAGGAATTAATCCTGGCCACCATATCCACATCAGCCCAGCACACACAACGCCACAGTGCTTTCAACGACAGCCTCTTACGGTCTGTTTTCTTCTCTCTAAGATTCATAACTAGAGTTCTGTGATCCCCATGGCCCCTCTTCCAGCTCTTTAGCTCTAGAGTGGAAAACATTTCCAAGAAGGCCCAACAATCTCCCTTTACCTGTTACCTTTGTCTGTTCAAGCTACACAATTGAAAGTTGAACCAGACATGGGATCTTAAGGGGATGTGATGTTTGTGCATGCGCCTGGATGTATTTAGGGTATTTGCATGCCATCAAGCACCACCAAAACTAATCGATTGGGCACCATGCATTCCAAATAAGCAGAGAGAACAGAATTCCATGAAGGTCTCCCGGACATGGATGCAAATAGAACCGCAAATAGAAGCAGTCTGACCCCATCCCATCTGTGACTCAGAGGCAGGGAGAACTGCCCTGGGGCTTTGAAATATGCCCAAAGTGTCCCAATTTTAGGTGTGCTTGCCCCTCCTTTGAAAATGTGTTGTAGAGTTGAAGGAGAAAAAAAAAATGAGAAGAAACCTGCTTAAAAATCCACCTCACCTGGATAGTTTTCAGTTGAAGCGTTTTGAACATGGAGGAACCCTTCAAAATGGTTTTCGAAACATAACTGCTAATTAGGACCCAAAATGACTGTGAAATTGTACTAGAGACTCAAACTGATGCTCTTGGAAATCCCGACTTGACTGGCAGGGAAGTCACACTTCCTGTCCTCTCCTCAGACAGGAGACACGAGTCACCTCTCTGAGGTGGTCGGCATTTCCAATTAATGGCGCACACTTCTTTCAGACACTCGCCACCACAGCAGCTGATGGGTTTGTGTCGTCCTTTGGTCATACTACCTGTAATTTAGTGAGTCTGTCAGGATGATGAAGAGACAAGGGCTATTCTCTCTCCCTTCTTGGATCTGTCAATCCAATGTCTTCTTCATAAAAAGCAGGACACTCTCTGCAGGCTGCCTGTAGCCCCAGTATCAAGTCAGGATGCCCAGAGGATCTGTTTGGAAGCTCATCTCCACTGTCGATGAGTGGTCCACCCCTCACTGACGCCTTACTAGCAACCCTTTCTCACATGCATGGCTTACGCAGAAGCTCAGTGCCTTCCACATGAAGCATGAGCATCCGTAGCTGCCAAGGCTTGAATCTTCTGGACATGGACATTCATGGTGGACTCATGTTCATTGTGCTCATGCTACATCATAGGCACAGTAGGCTCTGGCAGAGTGCTTAATGGAATCAAACAAAAATATGACACTCACTGTGTAATTCTTTCTTGTTGTTGATGGCAAGCTGTTTCTTTCAACCATACACAGCTTTGTATCTTTGATCAAGAATGGAAACACAAACCAGTCAGAGTTTGGCTGGAGGATTCAGCAGCCTCTTTGAAGCTCTAGATAAGCTCTAATTTGGAACAAGGGCTTTGGTTTGTGCAGGGAGGGAGCCTCCACAGAGCCTTGTAAATATGTCTTTCTATCTTAGGATGCCACGTTCCCCTCAAATCTAAGTGCTGTTTTGTAGGAGTTCAAAGATTAGCTTCTGTGTCTTTGCTCTCAATTGGGGACACAGAACAAAGCCTGGGATTCGGAGGAAAGTTTGGGATGAAATCCACATTGCAGTGCAGATTTGCTTGGAGGGGAGGAAAGTGTCTTCCGTTTCTAAACAGTGTTTTCCAACCCAGGTCTGACATACCCCCAGTATGTCTCCACTTATCTCAGCAAGGATCAGCCAAATTCTCAAAAACAGAACTTCAATAAGCTACTTTTATTATAGCTTAAAAATTTTAGAGTAACTGTATATTCCACACAACAGGCCTGTCCATTTACTTGTAGGCAGAGCTACCTCCCAATGGGCCAACAAGGACCACAGAGCTTGCCACTCATTAGAAATGACCCTGGAGCAGTCACCTAATTTCGGTTTTCTCAACTATCAAGTAGAAAGATTAATCCCCATCTACCTATAGCTGTTTGGTAGACTTAAATGACTTTTTATATAGGCCACTCTGTGGTTACAGACTGACTCATTCAAGCATCTATTACGAAATAATTGAATAAACCTGTCTTGAAACCTCTTACATATAAATAGGATGTGGCTGGAACTTTTGACACAAACACTGAAGATGTTGAGGCAAATGGACTTGGAGAATGTGATTTCTACCTAAAACCTAGCACCTACCATGTACAAACGTGTTAAAGAATTTTCCTGAATACAGCCTTGTGTAGCCCTCATGAAAACCTTAGAGACACATGTTACCGTCCACTGTTGCAGATGAGGAGGCTGAAGCATGAAGAGCCTTTATCAATTGTCCATGGTCCTGCTGCTCCTGAATCGTGGACTGGCTGTGGGGCCACTAAAAGGGGCTTATCTACACACAGCTCTGCCCCCTCTCAGCCTCCTCCTCTGCCACTCATCCCTATTGGGAAAACCCAATTCCCTAGAATCAAACTTGACTATAAAATTTAGAAAATTTAGGTCTAGAGACCAGCACACACCCTGCCCCCAGCCCTTAGAATTGCTACCTGACTCCACTGTAAGCCTGAGGTACGTCCCACTGGGGAAAGCTCCCACCTGTTGGGCTGGGGGCCGGGAACCCCTCTAGATGCATTGCCTCTCTGCATTCCATCGCTCCCAGACACCCAGGCACAGGTAGTCACTTGCCCGTTTGCTGGAGCCCATGTCCCTTTATAAGTCCTCAAATCCAGGTGATCCATGAACATGGAATAAACAAAAATGCAAGCCAAGAACTCTTCTGCTGTTTCTTTGGCCAACTTTGTAGCAATAGTTTAAACACCAGTTTTATAAGGGGCAGGAAATTATGAAGAACAAAATGTCTGCTTTTAAAAATCTACCTTGATGGGAATGCAAGCTGGTGCAGCCACTCTGGAAAACAGTATGGAGGTTCCTCAAAAAGTTGAAAATAGAGCTACCGTATGACCTAGCAATTACACTACTGGGTATTTACCCCAAAGACACAAATGTAGTGATCCGAAGGGGCACCTGCACCCCGATGTTTATAGCAGCAATGTCCACAATAGCCAAACTATGGAAAGAGCCAAGATGTCCATCAACAGATGAATGGATAAAGAAGATGTGGT